GTTGATTGAAACGTCCATCAAGTATATAAAGACAGTCGATGAAATTTTTCAAAGAGACATACAATTCTAAGAGATTTGAGGAGATAAAAGTTGGAGATGAAGTCGGAAATGATAAAGATTTATTGTAACTTGACAATGGATTGAAATTTAAATATTGTAAATTGGTATATGTTATAAAAATATGTGTAAATAAAAATATATTGACACCTATTGAAATTTCCTTTTTATTTTTAGTTATATCGATAACAAATGATGTTATTTGATTTTTATATGTATGAATTAAAGAATATTCATCTAAATACAATGATGATGAAAAATTTCTTAATAATTATTTTCATGATTAAAGCAATATATTGTTTGTTTTTCTTTTTAACAATTCTATGTACATGTGTGATCTTCTTCTTTACAATTGTTCAATAGAGTATACTATGTAGAGGATGTCTTGCTTCGAGTCTCAGAGCTCTGTTTGATGAGTCCAAATCGGGGTTTCGATGGTTGTTACTTTCGAAATCAATGACTACATTCTTGTACGAATACTGTCAAGATATCGTAATAAATGTGTTTCGTATACTGATTGCGGAATCTAAAATAGCAATAAGTGTGCCGTATTTTCAGAGCGTCTATCAAGGCGGATTAGAAGTTTTATTAAGAATGAGTATCGACCGGGTTGTGTGCAAAAAAGTCTAATCAACTGGATCTAGCTCGGAAAATAGTTCAATATGGTACCGGTCTAAAATTTTTGAAGTCGATAGGCTTTAATGCCATATCATTCATGTTACATTTTATTTTAACCACTTATTTTATTCTAGTTTCTTCTTCTTTTTATTAGGATCAATGCTTAAAGTTTCAATATACGCGATTCTTTTTCACTATTAATTTTCTTCTAATTCATTTCTATCGAGAATAGTAAATTCGAAAATTATTTTTTCAAACATATGCATTGATCTAAATCAATTTGTAAGATGCATATATATTCCAAATAAATCATTTTAATTTTCATCTATATTTTATTTTTATTAATAAATGAAAGAATTAAAATGTCTTACCAACAAAGAGGGATTGAGCTGTTTCTAAGTCAATGTCCAATAAACCAAGTCCAGATAAATTTGGATAATTTGCAGCACGAAGTATACGTTCCATAGATGATGATTCAAGATCAAGCCATTTGATTTGACAATGAATTTCAGGTAAAATTTGTGAACAAAATCGATCAAGCATTGAATCAGGTAAGGGACATATGGAATCATCTAACAAACATCTCATCAATGTTAAATGACTTGTAAAAATTGGATCACGTACAATTGTGTTGAGTCGTTTATTAACACCTATTAAAGAGTAGAGTAGTGAAACATTCTTTAATTTTGTAAAAATTATCAAAAGAATTTCATCTGGTAAATCATTTAATGTAAAAAATAAATATTCCATATTTATCATCGTTTCTATATATTTGTTTGACTTATGACTGTGAATATTTATATAAATATGACCATTTTATCTATTTGACCGATGTCGTCAATGAGAACAATGAGGGTACATGTGCAGAATGAGCACACCATCAATATATATATAGAAAGACAGAAAAAAAAACAATTGTTAGTGAATAAACACACCACCATTGAAAGATTGCAATCTTTCAATGTTGGTGTGTTTATTCACTAACAATGGTTTTTTTTTTCTGTTCTGTCTTTCTATATATATATTGATGATGTGCTCATTCTGCACATGTACCAACATCGTTGTGCTTCATATGTTAAATGTATACAATTTGGATTTATAATTGATTTCAATGCACGCATTGTTGTCATCAAAATAATCATAATACTAGATACAATGTAAAGAAAAATACGTGTTTTTGCTGGAATATCATCAATAGGATCACCTACATAATGTTCATAATCTTTCTAGAAAAACAGATATAAGGCAATTATAAATTGTTATTATTATAGACTTTTAAAAACGCACTTGTATTTCTTCGAGTACTGTTTTGTCCATTGCTGTCGATTGACAAACTTTATATCACAAAAGACGATTCTTTAATTTATTTTGTTGATGAATTATTAGTAATTATATCTGATAAAAAATTAGATATAGGTTTTTGAAGAAAAATCTGTTGGACAACATCTTGTTTTTTTTCAACAGTGCTTATGAAGAATTTAATATTTGTTGTTAAAAAATTTATTTATTTATAATGCAATAATCTTCTTTTTATTTTTTATTTTCGAAAAAAACAAATTTGAACATAAATAAACAACAGGCAAAAAAAAATCTTTTTTTTTCTTCTATTTTCTTGTATCAATTTGATATGTATAAAAATATTTATATAATACCAATTCGATTAGCAACGTCAAGTGCATCATGATCAGCCTTGAGTCTAACATAAGCTTTCTTTTCACCATCAGGTCGAATTAATGTATTGACTTTTTCAGCATCAACATCATACATTTTTTTAACAGCTTGGTTAATCATTGGTTTATTAGCACGAATATTGACAATAGATACTAATGTATTATTATCTTCAATTTTTTTCATAGCCGATTCAATTGTTGATGGATATTTAATAGTAGCAAAATGATCAAGATGATTACGTTTTGGTACTGATCGTCGAGAATATCTCAATTATCGTTGTAAACGAAATGTAAATGGACGACGAAATATTAGTGACGTACGAATTTTACGTTTACGTGTTCATTGATTACCACTAAATTTGAATATAAAATAATTAAATTTATTAATAAAATTTATTTTACCGAACAAGTCGTTGTTTAGTTTGAAATATTTTAACAAACAGTAATAAAAATAATTGACAAATGCTGATATTGTCAATGCGAAATGAGGTGCTGATGCTAAACACGAACAATAAGAAAAAAAGAGACTTGTTGGATAAACGAATAAAATAGTTTACAAGAAGAATTGAGTCAATCAACTAAACTGTTAGAATCAGGAAGTACAAGGTTTGGTGCAGCTATGTACAGTAGGCAATTGTATGATATTGATATAGATGAAGTACTTATGATTAAAGGCCGCGCGAGGGTACGAAGATTAGGGGGGGGGGGGGGTAAAGGTACTTTTTGCAACAGAACCTAATAAAAATATGATAGAAAGTCCAAAAAATCCATTCCTATCATTGAAAAAAATTGAAAATTTTCCATTATTGGGGAAGGGGGATGTACACCCCCCACACCTCCGCTTCCGCGGCTTCTGTTTGTGACAATAGCTAATGATGAGATAGCTGTTTTGAAAAATCAATTAATTTATTATAATCGAAACTTATAATGATTACAAAAAACAGATGATTGAAATAAATATAATTTGAGTGTTAACTTTCTTTTCATGGGACATATTCTATAGATATTTTTATGTAAATGTTCAAGAAACGTTGAGTATACAAAAATAATACACCATAATGCCGTATGTATTACTGTACAGGGATAAATCATGAAATATCAGGATAAGAACAGTATTTTTAGTCAAAAACAGGAAAATCAGGACATTTTTAAAGAAATCAGGAAAAAATCAGAGAAGTAGTAACGCTGCGAAGGCTTCAATAATCAATAGTCTTTTTATTTTGCTAGTTTAAAATAAGTTTAAAGTGTTACAACTTTGTTTTGATTCATTCCGTAGCTGGTCTACTAGATTTTTTCTAAAAAATAGACGGAAGGTTTGTTTTTTTTTTATTTAATTAAGTTGAGAGATTTTATTTGTTATTTTAGTAATTTCATCACTTGTGGTCAAGACAGTGACATTTATGTTTCTTGGACAAGAAGTGGTAAAACTAAACATATAAAACGTTCCGATGAATGTGTCTATGGTGTCGTTCATGTAAATCACTTCAATCTTTTCGAAAAATTAATTTTTAGTCATTTAACAGTCATTCGACTTTTTATGTGTCACACGGTGGATCATTCGCTTATCCATTCTATCAGTGCGTGATATTTTCTTTTTTTTTATGTACTGGTAATCTGTATTTTCTATTTTATTCTAGGTAATTTTCTCCTTCTTTTTCTATATACATATGTATGTGCTTCTTGTTACCAAGACTATTTTATTTTTCTTCTTCTATCCTGCTATGTATTACATAGGCTATCTTGTTTTCTCTTTTCTCTCCTCTTCGTTATATATACATACGCATTTTAATTTCAACAGCAGTTAGATCTATTTAATAGCTGTTGTGATCATACGTCTGTACTATCCTCGTCTATCGTTTAATAGAGGTCAATGAAAACGAATTTTTTTCTTATCACTGCGTCCTTGGTAAGACTAACATTTTAAATTTAATTATGAAAGAAATATCGTTTATTTATGAGAATGAATCAGACGTAAACTCATTTTCTCATGGTGATTCGCTTATAAGTCTTATAAATTTCATTCAACCTGTATCAACGCTATATATATTCAAAATTTTATTTTTTGTTTGTACAAGGTAAACAAATTATTCATTTTTGATAATTTCAAAGTGGTAAGAATTATTTCGATTAACGTGGTTCAAATAAATTAAAATAGTTTGATGAATATCAAGTACTAATACTTGCTTTATATGTCAATTTGAGAAACATTTCTGGCTAGATAATTATTCTTTTCTTTAGAAAACAAATAAAATCTTTAATATCGACAAGTGAACGTTAGTTAAACCACTCAATGTTATTGACAAATCGAATGATATTGAGTAAGTCTTAATAGAAAAAAAAAATGTTTTTGATTAATGAAATATTTTAATTCATTTAGAACAGCATCTTCTTTAGTCGAAATCGATCGGAACTAAATATATGATATAAAATTTATTTAATCTTTGGTTTTTAATAAAGATTTCATTTGGTTTATTTATAGGTATTATAGCTATTCCAGTAAAAAAATTCCATGCATATTTATTAACGTGATAAATGCGCAAGAAAAAAAATGTAAATGTGATTCAATGGATGATATTAGTTTTCTTCCTCATTCGATATTTTCAAAACAAATCTTCTTTTAGGTAATTAATTTAGTTTGCTTTTCACCATATTGAACTTTATTTTTAGTTACTTATCGAATGATCAACTATCAATTTAAATCGTCTTATTGTTAAGGTTTGCATTAAGTAAAGAAAATATTATTTAAATAGATTTAATCTAATAATTTTCTATTTGAAGTTTCTCAACTAAAGATAGTGCTCGTTCAAATGCATGGAATCTGGATGAAACACATCGATGTACGTGTGTTACAATGTCTGTAAGTTGTATTTTTCGTACAAATCTCTTTTGCTGAATACTGCAATCCAAAATGCCGTGAGAAGAAAGATAAGGGTAGTTATATTGGAAATCTCTCATGGCGACGTAATCATTCCAACAATGATTTTCAGTTTTTGAGTTTTATACGAAAAGGTATTCTATTTGAATTAGCAGAATAATAGAATTGACTGCATTGACGCATATCCAGAAAGTGGAAGACACGAATGAGGAAGTTGATCTCATTTTTTGTTGATGATTGGCTTAGAGCTGGTAAATCTTGTGTGTCCCTGATTGTCTGAGCATGCCAGGAAATCTAGAATTGATTTAACCAATAACAACATTGTTTTGTATAAACACTTATTAGAAATCCATATTGTAGAATTTGCATTTTTTTCCTTAACTTTTGATGCTTGTCGATAATCTCATTAACTTCCTTTATCGTTAATGATGGACAGTTGTTAAACGGCCGCAGACTGTTGCTACTGATTCTATCAGTTTTTCATGAGAAATTTTCATTTAGAATTACTTCTTGATGGAACTCAGATATCGTCGAATTCAACATTTTGAATTCGCACTCGATGAATACAATCTTCTGCGGCTCGAATGCAGATTCTTCTGATAGTGTCTTCAATAAAGTTTTCTTATTCGAATTCTAAAATAGCTTCGAAGATAAAGATTATCGTTTCTGTACTATTTGTATTCAACGACCAACACATCTTAGATTGTCCATGTTAGAGCCCAACAGTTCAAGATTTTTTAAGCTGGGCTCAACAGTCTCTAATGGAACGTCATGGAAATATAAAATTTTTTATAAAAATTTCTATCATGCAAAAAACTTCGTTTCTGCTCTTTTTAGTTGAGCGTCACAGATCAATGACTCTGATGGGCCATTTTTATCGTAAATCGAATCAGCCTTGGGTGGAATAGTCTTTTTATGAGTTACAATACAGTGCATTACTGAAAAGATCTCCTCGCGTTCTTGTAAATTGTTTTTCGTTTATGGAAATGATCAGAAGAATCAATCTTTTCATCCAAATTTGAAGATGACCTGGGCAAATCTAATAATGAGAGGATTAACTTTTGTAATCCAAATCGAGATAGGGAGGTATCGAAAAGGAAGAATAGAGGAATTTAACTTCTCTTTGTGAGATTTACAAATAGTCAGAAGAATTAGGGATCGAATAATTTTCATCATTGAAACCTTCTTTTTCTTTCTGGTAGTATTTCTGAAAGAATGCCTTACGAGGGAACCGCCTGAGGTGATTAACTGCTTTTGAGCTCATACTTTAGGCATCATAAGAGGATCCCTACACTAAAATAACCCTAAAAGAACTTAGTCCCATGTGTGTATGGGACCGAGATATAACCGTTTTAATGGATTTTCGCCGTATGGCAGTGATCCATCTACGAAATTGAATCAAGGGATTTCGATCTGAAATATTGTCCATCAAGAGGTCTAAGGACCACTAGAACACTCTGAAAGTCTTAGGCAAAACGAATGCATTCTTCTTAAGATATTGACTTTACAATAAATGCTGATATTGCTAATTCTTGCAGAGAAATAATCGGTTTTTTGAAAATTCAATATCTTAAGAAGGGCGCATTCACTTTGTCTAAAACTTTCAGAGTATTCTCGTGGTCCTTAGAACTCTTAATGGACAAAATTTCAGGTCGAAATTCGCTGATTCAGTTTTGTAGATGAACCAATACTCTAGGGCAAAAATTTAGTAAAATGGTTATACCTCGGTCCCACAAGCGCATGGTACAGAGTTCTCTTAGAGTTATTCTGATGTCGAGATCTCCTACTTATGCCTAAAGTATGAGCTCAAAAGTGATTAATCACTTAGGGCAGTTCCCTCATTAGTATGTGTCTGAGCCAAAGATCAATGATATTATATAAATTATTTAAAATGAATTTACTTTAGGACGAATATACTCTTATTAATGTACCAGAATATGTTAACAAATCAACATCAAACACCAAAGAAGATTAAATTATGTTTTATTTCATTCCACAATTTTGTATTTCATATTGCTAGGAAGAAGCTGAAGTGAAAAGATGACGTTTAATAATAAAGATGATGTTAAACTATAGAACTTTTCCCTTAAACAACAATTTATTTTGTATTCAAGATTTTGAATTTGTGTCTAAATGATTGTGAACAAGCATCAGATGATTAATCGTCATCAGCATCAAAATACCTTAAAAGTTGATTTTTAACTTATAATAATATTGTTACAATAACATGTTATAGTAAACAAACTCACATTACATTTCATGATGCATCATATTAGCATTCGATAATGATCAATAATAAAACCGATAAATATTCATGTAGTAATTTATCTTTATCGGCTATTGTTCCTGCTTCATTACAAAGTAATAAAGTATTCTAGTTTATATCAACCATAAGGTGATAAATATGCATGAATGAACAATTAATATGGAAAGTAATGATAAGATCGAAATTTTTAGTTTAGATAACGATTTTTTCATCATTTCCACATCCTAAATATTAATAGAATTTACGAATATATCCACTGTTTAACAGCGTTTTATTATTTTTTTGTAGATTTCATGAGTCGCAAGAAATTTTTGTCATTTGTATTGAATACTTATAAAGATACAGTGAAAGGCAATGATCAACTCATTTTAGTGGCACATTATTGTCTTATCAACCAAGACTTTGTTGTTGAGAACGCAACAGAAGAAGTAAGATATTATTTTTACAAATTGATTTTATTCTTTTTATTTTATAGGCTAATGAGTTTATTACTATTCAGAGAGAAAAACCAGAGGCATCTTTTTCTATGACCTATGTTCGGGAACAGATGACATTGGTTGTCGAGCATTTATTTGAAGATGGCAAATACGTGATTCTATTTACTGTAAGTTACTTTTCCAAAAGTATCTATTTTTTCATCCTTTTTTAAATTTAGATCGATGGAAAAGAAACGGACTATTCAGTACCGATACAAGATCATCTCAGTGAAGAGTAAGCTTAATATTCCCGTTTTCCTTTTATTTTTCTTAGAAAAACTTTTTAGTAAATTAATAAACACGGCTGATTTAGTGGACAATATAGAAGATGAAATAAAAAAAAGTGTACGAAAATATCGACGAACAAACCGAGCAACTACAACAGCCAATCGAGCTGAACGTCAATGATAGTCATTAAGTTTTTCTAAATCCAGCCGAACTTCAACTGAGTAAGTGAAAACTAGTTTTCGAAAAAATATTAAATGCTATCGTTTTAGCTATCAACAGATCTTATTTACAAAATTGTTTTAAAATAATTTTGTTAAACTTTTCATTAAAAAAGAAGAATAAAACAAGAATCTCTTATCAATCATTTTTAAATTGTAGTTTAAGATAACCAATGTTATTCTATCTCTTCCGTCTTATTCATCATCATAATCAACTATTCCAATTTCATATATTTTATTAGGATTTAGCATTGACTCGAGAAACTTTTTCTTTTGTAGATGGCATTAATTGAAAAACCAGGTAATAGTGTTTTTGATAATATTGATTTCATATATATAGTTTGAAAGCAAGTAATTTTTCTACTGTCGATTTAGATTTAGCTGACAACTATGTGAGAAGTAATTTCAAAGAAAAAAAACATCAAGTTCTACATATGAATGTTCGTTTTTTTTCTTCGATTGTATTCTCATTCACCTATGGACTACATACTGAATTGGCATTTTTAATGTTGAATAATTCGTGTTCTTAGCTTATTGCTACGAAGATATTGCACTTTCACGATATTTCTCAAATAAATGTCGTTTTAGGATAGAAGCGAATCAAAAGATTTGAAACTACTTGAGTCAAAGCCTATCTCTATGGAAAGTGTCAAGTCGAAATTCGTAAATGAATTTTTCTAAACCACGAAATTGATTTGAAAAATACCGTAAAAGTTGAGCTATGGACACGAACTCTTTTCAAACAAAATCACTTCTATTATTGATATAGTGAAGGTTAATCACCGATTATAAAACTTTGATTAATCGCTAATGTTTTTTAGCGATTTTGAGAACATGAAAATTTGTAAAGTATTATTCATTTTAATTCTAATATTTTGTTGAAATTTTCTCATCGTCTAATACAATTGTTTCTTTCTCTGTAGGTTCTATTTTTATGGATGGTAAATTAATTGTTTCTATTTGGTCGACATGATCATTAGATATGATTAAATTATTTGATTTTTGATGAAGATTTTTCATTGAAGATAAACTTTTATCTATGAATTCATTTCGTTTTGTAATTGCTTCATAATCTTGTATATCATATGTATATTCAATATTAATATTAGATTTTCGTTTAATTATATTTGAAAGTTTTTTATTTTTAATATTTGTATGAATTGTTCGGCGTCCAAGTATTATAGCATGTTTCTATTAAAAATAAATTAAACATAGTTTTATTTGAATAAAATAAAAAATAAAAAATAAAACATACAGAATATCGATTACCAACTTGTTTATATTTACTCGTATCATAAAATGGAACTGTTAGTTCTGAATGTATTTTATATGTTTGTCGTCCTATTTGTGTCCAACCAGATTTACATGGCAATTGTGATTTATCATTAATACTATCATAAGTCATTGGACCTACATGATAATTAATTTCTTTCGAATGATGTACATTTTTGATAGTCCATTTAGGTGAACAAATTTTAATCAGATCATATTTAGGTAAATAAAATGGTATAGAAATAGGAGTATTTCGATTAACTAATGGAATAAGCATATTACCCATAGCATCACGTGGATAGATAAATCGAGCTGAATCAATATTATATTGTTGAATAGATTTTATAGATATAATAGCATTATTAGAAGATGTTTGAGTATTTGAAAATAAATGTTTTTCAAAACCATTGATAGGACGAACTTTCCATGTATTGATTAAATTTGAAAAAATTGAAGTCGATTTTTGTTGTTGTTGTCGTCTCAGCTGACGACTACTAGACATTATAAAATAAAATATATAAATTAATAAAAGAAAAATCCTAGCAACACAATTTCATTTTTATTTTTATGCTTTTGAATTATTAATAAATATAAATACAAAAAAAATAATTTTTTTTTACATAATAAATATTACTTGTAATGGTAAAAATACAACAATCTAATAATACAGTATGAAATGTCTAATAGAAAGATAAGAACAAAAGTACCACCATTTTATAGTGTACATGATGATACTTTTTATCATGGTCCAGCATGGGTAATTAAACCAAAAATATTTCAATCAAAAGAAAAATTTATACAAAAACCTGGTCCTGGTTATTATCATATACCAGATAGATCTATCTATATTCGACCAGGTAAATAGACAAAAAAACAATTTTTTTCGATAGAATCTTTGGATAAAATATCTGATCAATTTTTGTTCACCTTTTTCTAACTTAATTTTAATTTATTGAGAACAAATCTTTGATAACAATCAAAACTGATGTTTGTACAAAATATGAATTTAAAAAGTATTGATAAATATATTCGTTCATTTTTTTTTTGAAGATCTTAATGACGTTGAAGTAGTCAATTAGAACCAAAATTTGATGCTCTTTCCAAATTAATGTTTAGAATTTTTCATTGACTCATGATTGATTATCTATGAATAAATATTTAAATAAATAAAAAATGTTGTTTATACTAAATAAAATAGACTTTCTAATCTTGTATAGAATTTAATTTTTTTTTACTAAATCATACATTATAATATGCTAGAACTCACAAATAGAATTCAACATGAGAGAATATTTTTCAACAAAAGCCATTTACTTATGTAACAGATTTCAATCAGTTGTAAAACTAAATTAGACAAAAAGTTTTCTACATGTACCGTTTTTACACATAGGATATTTTATAAATTATTTAATTGTATAGAATAATTATAATTTCTTTAGGTAAAACAATCGGTAGTCGATATGAAACAACTCCACCTATATCAACTAATTTATTAGCACATTATAATCCTAATGATCAATATATATCAAATGCTAAAATGCCTGCAATATCTATTACACCACGTCGAATAGAATATAAAAATAAATCTAATTATTCGGGACAATTTTATTTACCATCAGATTCAATGTATCATCGTCGAGCTCCTCTTATTCGATCTTTATATGGTCAAATAATTTCACGAAAACCTTTACATAATAAATCTCTATCAATTTCACCTGGTCCAGCTGCTTATCCAATGTATAAATTTGATGAAGATATTTTATCACGATCACAACCTGGTTTTACACAAAAACATCGTTTTTCATCTGATCGAATAAAATTTAGTTTAAGTAATAATGTACCATTTTATTATTCAAATAAAATTGATCGTCATCGATTACCTTTGTTTACTATTGGCAAACGTCTGTCTACATCGAAAAAAATCAATTCATGTGCACCACCTTATTATAAATCATTCGATGACAATAAGTTATGCTCAAGTATTATACAACCAGGTGTAACATTAAAAGGACGTTGGAATCCATTTATCTATAATGGTATTAACCACATACCAAAAACTATAATTAAACTTACTCAACATCATCCAATAGTAACCGAACAAAAACATTAATATTGTATCTTTGTCACTAAAATACACTCATTTTTTCGTTCTAAATTCAAGAGAATATGTTTTATTTTTGCATTGAAGTATATAATAGTTATTCTTTATCTTACAACCAATAGTTTATTTTTTTCTGCTCCTCTCCATAACATAAGAAGAAAAAAAAATCAACGAAAGAACGAGAAAAACAAAACAACAACAGAAATGTTTCTGTTCTATCATATTAGGAAGGCATGTGGCAAAACCAAAAAAAAAACAACAACATTGCAGTACCAACTGAATGACTTCTTTATAATATTATAGGATTTTTTTTTATTAGTAAAAAAAATGATATTTTTCAAACGTTATTCATTATTAAATATTATTATTCGTCGATGTTTATCATCATCATCATCAAAAGGTCCTACACTTTATGAAACATTAAAAGTTATTGAAATTTCACCAGATATTTTTATTCAACCTGCTGAAACTTTATTTGTTTATCCTTATCGTACAAGTGTATTTGGTGGACAAATAATTGGTTCAGCTATTTATGCTGCACAAAAAACAATAGTAAAAAATCATCCATTACATAGTCTTCATTCATATTTTCTCGCAGCAGTTGATAATTCATCAGCAATAACATATACAGTTAAAAGATTACGTGATGGTAAATCATTTGAAGCACGTAGTGTTACAGCTATACAAGATGATAAAATAATTTTTGAATGTAAAATGAGTTTTCATCGTAAAGAACAAGGAAATTTAGCACATCAACCAATAATGCCTAGTATTGGTAAGATTTTATTTGATACAAAAAGTTTATTCATTTTTCATTTCTTAGGTGTTATTCCACCTGAAGAACTTTGTTCAACAAGACAACGTTTTCAAAGTCTTCTTAATGATAAACGTCTACCAACTGAAGTTCGACCATTTGTTGAATTAGCTCTTGAAATGCCTATACGTATTGATATTCGACATTGTAATCCACGTGATTTACTTACACCTACATCAATATGGCCAGCACGACAGCTTATTTGGATTAAAGCTATTGAACCATTACCTAATGATTCACATTTACATCGAGCTGCTGTAGCTTATTGTAGTGATCGTGTATTATTAACTACAGCATTTCTTCCCTATGCAATTAATATATTTAGTTCACGTATTCGAATGCAAGCTTCACTTGATCATTCAATGTGGTTTCATGATGATTTTGATTTTGATTCTACATCTTCAAGTAATCAATTAACAGATAAACAAATTAAACGAACTAAAGATATTCCATCTATTCCACCTAAAACATCAGTACGTGCTGATGATTGGTTACTCTATGAATTAGAATGTCCAATAGCTATGCATAATCGAGCATTAACTTTTGGACGAATATGGACTAGATCTGGACGACTTATTGTCACATGTGCACAAGAAGGTGCTATTCGTTGTAATTAATAGTAATTTAAATCAGATGAATGTTTTTTTTTTAAATAAATTCTTCATAGTTTATTTAACAATAAGTCGAAATTATTCATACAATAGTTTGTTTTTCTTTTCTCATTCACAATCAAAAGAGTTAACTAGTTTAACAAAAAAAAAAAAAGATTTTTTTCATGATTACATACAATTTCATTTATTTATATATGACCTGTAAATACATGAATACGTCCACTTGAATTTCCACCAGCAATTATTGGAAGTGTTTGATGACTAACATTTACTGTAGCTAATGAATTTAAATTTTCACTACTTAATGATGAAATTTCTTGACAATTTTCATTAAAAATACTTATCTAAAATAAAAAAAAGTTAATTCATTAAAAAATAAATAAGAATATTTACTGTTCGAGGATATCCACTTGATCCAATAAGAAAATACATTTCAAATATTGGATATGGTTGTGCTGTAAATGGTGTTACAAAACGATTAACATAATTTCTATGATAAATTTTTTTCATTGGTTGAATATCTAATGGATCATTTGCATATTTCATATCATTACATGAAAACGACATTAAATGATCATCACGTGTTGTTGCCATAATATGACTACCTGCTTGATTATAATAAGCTCCATAACATGAATAATTTGTTTGTAAACAATATTTCATAGTTGACATATTTCGTAAATCCCAAACTTTAACACAACTAAATCATTTTCAAATAAATAAATAAAATATAAAAATTTTCGAAATTTTTCATTTTACTTATCAAGTCCAGATATACAGAATTCATCAGTTTGTATTGGATTAATATGAAGAGTACGAATACGTTTTTTTGATACATCAAAACGTTCTATCGATACTGGACTAAAAAATGATTAATAATAAAAAGTGTGTTATAATGATTTCTGATTAAAAATCATAGAATACGTTATCCCTTTATCCCCCATTGGCAATTGGAATTACCATTTTGTAGAATGATTGCAGAAAATAAAGGAAGCATGAGATTCAAAAACGATAAGAACATTTTTTGTAGTGAACTTTATAAGCTATCGATTAGTAGAAAGAATAATTTTTTTCATGGCTCCGTCTTTGAAATATTGGACCAACAAAATCGATAATTTTGTAAAAAATGAAAAAAACCGAATTTTTCGAAATAAATCGTTCTCTACTAATAGTAAATAAAGATCTTTTGGAATTTGTGTGTGATATAAATTGATGAAAATGTCTACTAAGGAATTAGATATGTTTCGAATGCATCGCGATAAGCTGGCCAATTGCACACACTAACGCACATAATTGGCCAAGGAACCATTATGAGGCATCTTTAGGGCAATTAAGAGAAATGGTAATATATGTATTATAAACATCAACTCATGAGAAGTTAGAATAGTATTTATTTTGAATTAAATATCTTCAGAAGTTATAAAACGGCTCATAGCAAGGTAGATGTCTATTTAAGAAAATGTGCTAAAAATACATGTATTCTTTCGACATTAATTTTTATTGGTTTATTTCCTCCGCTTTCCATTATTTCAATAGCATGGGATAGATGTTACTTTTGTTCATTCAATAATGTAGTCAAAGAAAACCAAATCAACACTTAATATGTCGTTCCATCACAGGGTCAACCGACCAATTAAATGGTCCTACACAAAGAGGTAGACATTCGGTGAATCAGACCACACAATTGTCACACTAGGCACGCTAGTACTCTATTTATATAGTTATTCTATCGGTAGCTCTTCTGGAATCACCGTGGGGGGAAGTAAAGGGTTATTATAAACTTGAGTTTCAGTCTCAGTCTGAGCAATTTCTCTTTCCCGTGAACCCTATAAAGTTTTGTTTTGTAGTCTATTACTTTGACCTTTATCAATATCAAAGTGTGACCAATGAACTAATAGTCCATTCTCGTTTACCTGAAGAATAGGCATGTTGTATGAGAAAGGTGATATAGACTATCTTAAGAACGGCTGAACGTATCGAGCTGAGGTTTTGGGACCAATGATCGCAAAAGTCCTTTTGTTTTAGCAATCTATAATGATAGAGTAATTAATTCTCTACAAAATGAGATGTCTCCGAACTCTCTACGACTTTTTTTCGTTGAGCTACATCAATTTTAGTGAAAGGCGAAAACCATTTTTTCTGCTGTTTCATCTGGGAGAAAAACGAAAAAACCGGCTTTTGTCCTTCACTAAAATTGATGTAACTCGGCGAAAAAAAAGTCGTAGAGAGCTCGGAGACATCTCATTTTATAGAGAAATTGGTTCCAAAATCACTGTTTTCTAGAAAACTTACTTCCGAGTATTTTGGACAAAAATGTCCGCTAGACAAAAGGGCACGTCATGAAATTCTTAAGAACCAGAGGACAGCTCGATACGTTCAACCGTTCCATGCAATACGCCTATTATCACAGCTTAGAAGTTCCTATTGCTCAGTTCTTAGGCATTGTTAGAATGCAAATTTCTATCCTATATACTTGAACACTCCTTTTAGATCGTATGTTACAATTACCTGGCTCGTATATCAGCTAATAATACATCACCATTATTTTCAGAAATTAGACAAGTTTGTAATGATCGATAATCAAAAGCTGTTAATCCATGATTATCAGGATCTTTAAATATCTAAAATAGTTCATATTGAAATTAATAGTTTTTGTTTTTTTTTATTTACAAAAAATAATTTTACTTCAATTGATTGATTTTTTATTATATCACATGTACGAAATGTTGAATCATAAGATGTTGAATTAATAATATTGGAATTAAAATTATCAAAACGACAACATGTAGCATATTCACTATGAAAATTATAATTAATTTTACACCATGCACCATTCAAATCATTGATAGACTAGAAATAAATTTTCTTTTTTTTTTGAAATCTCTGTTTTTCCTTTCAAAAGATTTTTGATTTACTTTAACAACAAGACCAATTGTACCCTTTCGATCACAACCAATAATAGCTAATATATCTGAACGAGAATGAATATCCATAAATAAAAGACGATCAGGTGTTAATTTAAGAACATTTTCATCAGTAATTTCCAAATCAGAAAATTCATAAATTGATCTAATAGAAATCTCTTTCTTTTGTTTTTTTATTAATAAAAACAAAAAAAGTATATTTTACTTTTTTGAATCAATTATTGAATTATTTTCTTCAAAAAATGTTTGAATTTTTTGATTTAATACTTCTTGTTCTTCAGGAGATATTCCAGATTCTCGTTTATAAGTTTGTCGTCGATAAACTACACTCATAACACTTCGATCCTATTTTAAATTCATAATTTTATTTCCAAAAAAAAAAACAATGTATATACTTTAGTTGTATCCATTTCATTATCACTTTCTTCTGGTGATGGAAGTTTATTTCCATTAACATCCATATTTGCAAGACGACGTGATCGTCGAACAGGAACATTTTCCGAAACAGTAATACTAAATGAAAAAATTCATTTTAACCAAATAGTAACTATTAACAAAATATTAGTTTGCTTCGAAACGTTGAATTATACATTTATGGATTCTTTTTCGTCAGATAGCAACACTATTTGTTTTTATGACACATGATGAAGAAAATAAAAATGTATAGATGACAACAGTCAAAATAGAGGAAATAATAAATGACTATAAGAATTAAAACAGTTACAGATAGATGCCAAAAAAAGAACTAACTATGATAAGAAACTAGAGAATATATTAGTACCTTAATTCTACACTCTCTTATAACTACGATTTACAACAGTATTCAACTGATTAATTTATACTTGTGGTTGCTATAGATGAACTTTATTCTCGTTAGGTAAGGTCTGAATCGAAAGTCAGAAAACTTCGAATTCAAATTGATGAAATACGACATTTACGGTGACTCGCAACGATTGACCTGGGTATAAGCAATGAGTGCGGTCGTTTGATAGGCGCAATATTACAACCGTATTTTAATACATTGTAATACTGTGCCTACCGAACTTCAATTTTATAGGTATTGATGACTTCAAAGTGTATGAAACTACATTCTACAGTACTGTTTTTGGCAATTCTACAATGTTATCTGTTTTTTTTTTAAATAACTTATTATCTAAAAAATCCATTTATTGTGATTAGTGTGAGTTAGTTAACATATTGTTATATTCAATTGGTTATGTAATATATGACAGGCGTTTGTCTTATATGATGTTTTATTAGGATCAAGCGTAGGACATTTATAGTTATAAATTAAAACTTCGACCGGCATGATATTTGTTTTGTTAGATATGAACATACTATTTATAATCACGTTTTTTTCCTTCTTTTTTAATAGTTGGTTGTAGTGTATTGGCTAAGCTTTTGAGATCATCACGAATCTAATATAAAAAAGAGGAATAAAAATAATAAAATTCTATTTTTAAAATCAATTAAAATAATTTTTTACTTGTGTCATTAATAAACCTTCTAAAAATGCTTTATTATCTTCAAGATTTTTTCGACGAATTTCTTCAATATTACGTACTGGTTCTTCTTTATTTTCATCTTCTTGAGAAAATTCTTTCTAAAAAAAAACAAAATCCAAAAATTGATTAATTGAACAAAATCATTGATATATATTTACTTTTGTTTGTGTTCGACGTTTTGATACAGGTGATGAAGAATTCTCTTCGGATTCAGTCTAAACAAAAAAGGGCAAATATAATAATAAATTTAAAATTAGAAAATATATACTTTTGTTCTAAATGATCCAGATCGAAGCATAACTGGCATGTTTAATATAATAATCTGAAATGATGATAACTAAATCATTTGAATATTCAAGAAAATTTCCCGCGAGCATTTATTATTCCAAAGAACAAAATAAATCAGAACTGTGTGACTATGAATTTTCTTAGTATTTGTTAATAAATTTTAACTTAAACTGAAATTTGCTATGTTTTCAAGCAATTAAATCTTATTTCATCATTATCTCACTCTTTAAGATAAAGAATTCGTACGATTCACAATCGGTTGAATATAAAAACCGCAATAAAGAATCGA